CTCTCTGGCACATACTCCACAAATTGTCATATCGATTTTCTCTCTATTTTTCTACCCTTCAGTTTGTTTTTTTCCGTTTGTAACTCATCAAAGTATTCATTTCTGACACTATAAAGTATATATATATATATATATATATATTCATAATCAGCGTAAAATTCTATGACGGTCCACGTTTTGGAGTTTTAAAATTTTATGAAAAATCCCCATTGAAAATTTTATTTGGTGTACATTATAGTTTACATAGATCGATTTGTAGAATTGTCGGTATAGTTCTATTTTGATGTTCCCTATATTTTTATTCCAATTACCTGTCAGTATACGTATGGTATTGTTTCCAAAATTTGTCCCAGCCGAACTTAACTCTTTTTTTCAGTTGTCACTTCTTAAATTCATTTTACCTATGGCGTTATTTATTTCACCGGTGAATCACTGATCTTCAATAACAAAATCAAAAAGAAAATAAGGAATCATATGTTTTCTTCCTTCTTATGCCCTACAATATAGGAAAGATTGAGTACTATGTATTAAATTTGACTTTCCGTTTGCAATACATCGAAATATTCGTCGGAGACTTGGACGGAGTTTTTTGGAATGTGTCATCCTTCTAATGCTGAATATGAACATCTAAACAAGAAATGTTCAATATAGGTCCATATACGAGGGTGGTTCAGAAACTTCATTGCCTATCAATGAAAGTAAATAGTTAGTTTTTCAAAAATATTTTTATTTTTCAAAATAAACGCCTGAAACTTCAATACACTTAGTCCAACACTTTTCTAGCAATTCTATCCTCAAAATAGTGGCAATTACAGTTGTAAATTGCATTTTCATTTAAGGTAAACCGCTTTCCGCAAGGATTTTTTAGGTTTGTGAACAAGTAAGAGTCACTGGGAGCTAAATCAGGAGAATAAGGTGGGTTGTCAAGCAACTCGTACTTTAATTTGTTGATATTAGCCATTGTTAAAACACTCTTGTGCGTTATCATGATGAAAAATAATTTTTTTTTGTGTTGTAAGCCAGGACGTTTTTCTCAAATTGATCCAAAAGATTTAATAGTACTCTGAATTTATTGTTTTACCCTTTTGCAGATAGTCAATCAATAAAATACCGTTGAAGTCCAAAAACGGTTGCCATAACCTTACCAGTCGATTGAATTGTTGTTTACATTCTTTGGGGCACTTCCTCCAGCTTCAGTTCATTGTTTGTATTGTTATTTTGTCTCTGGATTATAGTGGTGGATCCATGTCTCACCAACATTTATGAAATGACGCTTAAAATCCATTTTATTTCGCTTAAAACGATCCAAACAAGCTTGAGAAATGTTCATTCTTATGCGTTTTTAATTGACTGTTAACAAATGCGGCACCCATCTTGCAAAATCCTGTTTCATCTGTAGTTCTTCAGGCAAAATGAAATGGACTCTATCATTTCACGCGATTTTATTCGTCGATCATTTAATACCACATCATGTGTTCATAACAGAGATTCAAGTTTTCAAAACACTTTACTTTTTTCTGTTTATACCGCGCTTTTTGTGCTAGGCTAAGAAGTTTCCGAACTGCCCTCGTAGCTTGAATCTCCCCCTGTATGATCGTATTGTGATCTGACAGGCGAAATGAAATGCGGTTCTCGGATTTTAAATGAAATGTCGCAACTTTCCTGCTAGCCTGGAGCTATCTGTGTAACAGTAGTTGCACGACGGCATTTGTTCTAGGGTTCCGCTATCCCATGAGTCTATGTCTGGTATCATAGTTTAGATGTGACAACTCTTTTTTTAACTATTGGAACTGACTCAAAACTACTGATTGAGGATCAAGAATGCACTATGCTTTTGCTATATAGCTATATATCGTCATCAATTGAAATGAAATTGACTTTTTGTTTGATTGATTTAGACATCTAACGTCAAAATCAGCGATCTAATTCAAGAAATACAAACGGACGTAACTGCAATAGTATGTTTTTATAAATGCAATAAGACGTAACTACACTCCTGTAAAAAAAAAAAAACTAAAGCTCGCAATATTGAAGATAGAAATTCTGAACTTATTATATTAATGTTACTTCTGGGATGTTTGATATTAAAAATGAGAGATAACGGCCATTTTTTACGGTAGCCCCCATATACCTTAAAATTCGGTATTTTAACGCCTTTCTTATTTTTTTTAACCAATCAGCTATAATTAGGTATTTTTGTTTCCCACCGGGTGGAAAAGTTCCCTGTTCAAAGTTCTATCGCTATCGGATAAATATTTAAGAGCAACATTTACATAAAATCGGTCGAAACTGTATATGGGAGCTATATCGAAATCTGAAACGATTTTCACGAAACTTAACACACATCACTCCAGACTCAATTCAGTACGCTTTGCAAAATTTCGTGCAGATCGAGAGAAATATAGGGGCTTTAATGCACCATTTTCACAAAATCAGACGAAAATATATGTGAGAGCTATGTCTAAATCTGAACCGATTTCAAAAAAACAACACACGTCACCCCGGACTCAATTTGGTACGCTGTGAATGAAATTGTGAAATTATCGCCCATGTGCTGCATTTCGAGTTTGCTCGAATGTGAAACATTTTCCCAAATTTGGTGTGCTCCATTCCGAATTCCCAAAAAATATTGGGAATATAATTCGAGCACATATAGCCTTGTGGATTGAAAACGAAATGAGATCGTACGTGTTTTTCTGAGCACGTACCCATTAAAAAAGAACGCTGAAGTAATATTTAACGTGTTTTTACAATATTTATTTAAAAAATAGAATACTTACATTAGTTTTATAGTAAAATTAAAGAAAATAAAAAAGGGCTCATTTTATCAAAAACAGCGCGTAACATTTTTGAGATCAATCTGGCAACTCAACCACCATATGATCAAAATAAAAATAGAATCTATAAAAAAATCTACTTTTAAGATTTCCAATAGTCCTTTTAATAATGTTTCTTGCAGATGTGTGCCCTTTATTATATCGATGTTGACAAGATCCATGTTCCTCTTGTTTATAGGGCGTCATCAAAAATGTTTCTAAAGCGTAACCACTGTCTCCTAGAAGCCAACTATTTTGCATACCATTTCCTCTTCTGCCTACCTGCACTCATATGTCAAATAAAAGCATCATGGCTGGATCTTGGTCTGCAGCTGTCCACAGCTTGCACACACTTTGCCAGCTTGCACACACTTTTGTCTTCCAGGACTTTCATTACTCTCCACAATATTTTACACATTGTTCTGCGATCAACACCTATGTTTAAATCATTTGCCACTACACTCTGAAACCCACCAACAGCCAGAAATCTTAAGGTAGCTGCTAAATGCAGGCTTTCGGGAATGGTACCCTTGTGTATGAAAGGACCAACTTCTCTCAAAATATCCATAAATGCCTATTTTAACACGTTCCAGTATCATTAGACTTTTTCTGGTAGAAACCAGGACAATTAATAAGCCAGCAGCCATATTTTTTCTTAATTTTGTTGTTAAACAAATCGCAAATTCCAATGAAACATATGTTTTTTATTGAACACATTTCGTAACATATTGAACACAGCTATGTTTTCGAGCCTCACTTTCGCTCGAAATTGAGCACACCATTTTGCACAATATGGTGATTTAAAAAAGTATGGGAATTCAAAAACTCTCGGAACATGTCACATGGGCGTATTTCATGAATTTTTTTTCTGTGTAAAGTATTAATACTTTTGTACACATTTTGCATGATGTACAGTCGACTCGGCTTTACTGTAAGTCGCTTTACTGAAAAATATCGGATAAGTGAAATTGATTTCCTGCACCATTAAATTTTAGGTTAATCGCCAATAATTTATTCCGCATAATTTAAACTTCGCATAACTGAAAATATCGGATAACTGAAATAGCTTTTGGAGTCAAATATTCCAATTTCCTTTCAAATCACTCCGTACTACTGAAAATTGTGAGAATGAAGGATAATGACAGAATATTGTGCATTGAGGAATACACATCTTCAAAGCCCACCCTAATAGATACTTTTCTGCAATTAATGATTTTTCGACGTATGGAACGTGTGTATCATGTATATATATAAAAATTCATTCATTATAGAGTATATAATGAACAAATTACTTAAAGACTTAAATCGGCTAATATGAAACCTTACGCATAAAAAATACAGTTCATAATAAAAATCCTTTGAGCAGAGAACATGTCAACCAGTTTGAATTTCTATCGTCTATTTTCATAAAATTAGAGACCTACGAAATCGATATAAAATATGACTTACTGAAATTCTTAAAACTTGACAATGTTTTTCTTATGAGAAGTTCGGATAACTGAAATTATTTTAAGTTAACCGAATTTCGCTTAAGTGAAAACATCGGATAACTGAAACAAACATCTCGATTTTTTCGTTTCAGTAAAGCGGAGTCGACTGTATCAACCCCTTGATTTTTGTTTGTAGCTGGCCGCCAAAATGAAACTTTTTCAACAGTTTGCTTTTGATCCTTCATAATTTCTATTCATCACACTGTATTTTTTTATTTCATACAACATTCTTGTGACTTTTGACGGTGGCGCTGTTTCTTTTCCATTTACAATGTTTGTGGCTGTTACAACTAGAGCGCTGATTAATTTCCTGTTGTATATTTATATGAGCATATTGTAACAATATCAGCAGCAGTAAAGCCTGCCTCGAGGTGTATCGTAAAAATGTAAGGTGTTCTTTAGGCTTAAACAAAGTTAGTTTGCTATCTAAAAATCCGTTCGATTTAGACATGCGTTTAGAGATAAGTATATAGTATTCGGAAGTGAAATGGATATTACATTTTATTTTTTTGCAATATAAAAGTAATATAGATTGGAGATATCCAAAGTTCAGCTGAAATAAATCAAAAACATATTTCTTGCAATTAAATTATTTATATATATCAAATTTCAAAAAATTGTTTTATTTGGTTCTAAAAACAAATGTAATTTTTAATTAATAATAATATATATTTGTTTTTCTTTTTTCTTCCAGCACACTTTAACCGGTCACAGCGGTAAAGTAATGGCAGCTAAATATATCCAAGAACCAGTAAAAGTCGTTACCGGTAGCCATGATCGTACATTAAAAATCTGGGACTTGCGTAGTATAGCCTGTATAGAGACAAAGTTTGCCGGATCCAGTTGTAATGATCTCGTTACCACCGATAGTTTAGGTTCGACCATTATTAGCGGTCACTATGACAAAAAGATCCGATTTTGGGATATACGTACCGAAAAGCAGGCCGATGATATTTTGATGAATGCTAAAATTACCTCATTGGATTTATCAAAAGGTGAGCAAGGAAACTGAACCATTAAATATTTTTTATTAAAAAATATTTTGCTTTTTGCAGATTGTAATTACCTCATTTGTTCAGTACGTGATGATACTATAAAACTTTTAGATTTACGTAAAAATCAAGTTATTTCCACATTTTCGTAAGTAGCATATTTTCTTACCTTGTTCTTCTTTATTTTTTATATTATGATCAATATGTATTAATTAACTAAAAGGGTATTCATGCCGAGTTAATGGCAAATATCAGACTTCTGTTGGCATATGAAATAATCATTTCAATTAATTTTAATTTATTTTATTAAGTTATACTGATATTGTTTTCTGTTGATATTCGTATGCCTTTGAGTTACCCCATTGTTTAATTAATTAGTATTGTCTTCATCTTCGGTGTAATTGAGTTGAGAGTGTGTTTTACCAATTAGTTCCTATCTTTTTTCTCTTTCTCCCCCTCTTCGCCATGTAGCAATGAACATTTTAAACTTAGCTGTGATTGGGCCCGTGCCTCATTTAATATGAATGCCACAAAAATCGCCTGTGGTTCATCGGATGGTGTTATTTATATATGGAATGTCATGGGCAATTTGGAATGCGAATTAAAGGGACATGCGTAAGTTTTTATAAAAAAAATGTTTGTTGGTGTTTGTATTTGTAGATTTTGTGTGTTTAAAGAATGTGGAAATTTGTAACTGTGTGAGAATTTATTTTAATAGTAATAAGATTAAATGGATCGAAACAATCAGATAAAACTTGTAGATTTCGGATACATAAAAGGTTTCCAATAAAAAGTGTTACAATTTTGCGGACCATTATCGATTCGCATCAATACTAACCCATATACAGCATGTAAAGACTCTAGTTTCGCTGTGTATGTGAATATCTGAATCGGGATTTTGAAAATGTGTTAGCGTATGTTAGAAATCAAAAATCTCGATAGAAATGCCAAATTATAGCCATATCGGTAGAGATATTTAATATTAAGTTGGGGAAAAAGAAATCCATCCAAAGTCGAAAATGTCGATAATATCGGACCGACATGTTCGCAGTCGTAACATTTCCCAGGAGCTAAAAAATCGACCATAAAAATGTTTTAAATCATTTAGACAAAGCTGGATTCGAAAAGAAGCTCGATGTTTGGGTGACACACCAATTAACAGAAAACAAGTAAAAAGCATTAAGTTCGGCCGGGCCGAACTTTGGATACTTTCCACCATAGGTATACTGACAGGTATTTGCAATGAAAATAAAGGGAAAATACGAAAAAGTAGATCTATATCGACATTTCTATAAACTGATTATGTAAACCATATTTATAGCCTCAACTTTATGGCTAATGTACAAACTTCGATACGTTGAAAATGTGTCTCATCGAAATATTGCTTCTAGACTCCATGTTTTTTCGACCAAAACCATTTTTAGAAAATTTGGATTTCGTACAAAATTTGCACCATTTTTGCATCAGAATACATTTCTTTACGCTAAATATTAAAAGTACCGAAAATCGGTATACCGAAATATTAAAAGTACCGAAAATCGGTATTATATGGGGGCTAGGCCTAAATGCGGGCTATTTCGATAATCTACGCAGGTGAAATGATTACAGAGTCTTAGAACCAAACCCAAAACGCGGAGCAAATCAGATAAATATTTTAACATAAAAAAAGGGGTTATATGGGGGCTACCACAAAAAGGGGGCGAATATTAATAATTTTTGGTAGGGAGATTTGTTACCATATACAAAGTACCAAATTACAACGAATTCGGTTGAAAACCGCGCTCAAGAACCCAAAAAATACCGAAAATTGGCGGATAATAAGGGTATCCTCGAATATGGGGGACATTTTTCAAAGGAAAAATACGGTCAAAACCCTGCAAAAACTGAAAATAGGGGGTAACCTTATATGGGAGCTACCAGAAAAATGGGCCTATATTTATAATTTTCAGTGGGGAAAATTGTTACCCAGTAAGAACCCAATGTACCGAATTTCAGCGCATTCGGTTGAAAAACGCGCTCAAGAACCCCAAAATACCGAAAATTGGGGGTACCCTTATATGGGGGCTATCCGAAAAAATGGGCCTATATTTATAATTTTTTGTGGAGAGATTTGGTACCTCTTAAGAACTCTAAATACTAAATTACAGCCAATTTGGTGGAAAAATACGATCAAAACCCCCAAAATACTGAAAATTAGGAGGTGCCGTTATATGGGGGCTACCAGAAAAAGTGGACCTATATTTATAATTTTTTGTGGAAATATTTATTACCCAATAAAAAACGCGCTCAAGAACCCCAAAATACCGAAAATTGGGGCGTACTGTTATATGGGAGCTATGCCTAAACGTGGACCGATATATCCCATCTTCGAACTTGACCTGCCTGCAGACAAAAGACAAACCCCTGCTAAATTTCAGCACCCTATCTCAATTTATTCAGAAGATAGCGTGATTACAACAGACGGACGGACATGGCTAGATCGTTTTAGAATTTTACCCAAGAATCAAGAATATATATACTTTATAGGATCGGAAATGAATATTTCGATGAGTTACAAACAGAATGATAAAATTAATATACCCTCCATACTATGGTGGAGGGTATAAAAATATATTGGTTCGAATTTCCATCTGCTAAGCCGTTGCCAAACGGTATGAGATAGACCCATTTCTTAAACGGATGGTGACTGGAGATGAGAAATGGATCACATACGATAACCCTGTTCGAAAACGATTGTAGTCAAAAAGCGGTGAAGCACCTCAAATAGTGGTCAAACCAGCACTAACGGTCAGGAAGGTTCTGCTATGCATTTGGTGAGACTGGAAGCGGATTATTATGAGTTGCTTCCATATGGACAAACGCTAAATTCTGATCTCTACTGTTAACAACTGGACCGAAGATAGCAATTGACCAGAAACGGCCAGGAATGGCCACCAGGAAAGGTGTCGTGTTCCACCAGGACAACACTACCCCACACACATCTACATTGACTCGTCAGAAACTTCGGGAGCTTGGTTGGAAAGTTTTAATTCATCCGCCATACAGTCCGGACTTGATACCAATCGACTATTATATTTTTCTTGCATTGCAAAAATTCTTTAATGATTGTGAAAATCGACTACTAGAGTTTTTTGCAAATAGAAAGCAGGAAAGCCAAGCGGTTAAAGTTGTGAATGGTGTTTATGGTTCCGATGCTGTAAAAGCCTATTCTGTGCAATTATGGTTTCGTAGATTCCGTTCAGGAATTTTGATGTTAAACCGGCACAGGTTTCAACGACCGGCCGAAAATATCGATAAAATCGGAGAAATGATTGAGAAATGCCTTTAAAATGGTAACAAATTTCGATCCTAAAATAATGGATTAATTTTTTCCCCCAACTAATATACTCCACCTTCGTTTGTAGAGGGCATAAAAAATGTTATATTCTGTTAAGGCCACAATAACATTTCTTAATGAAAAAAACTTCAAATATCCGAAAAAAGTTCTAGCTTAACTAGCAGTGAAAGAATCATACAATTTTCCTCACACATTGCCGAGATATAGTCATTTGAAATTTACTTTAAATTCAAATATAGCTGCTATGGAATGCTGTTCGCCTGTTACCATAAAATTGCCTACTGAAGGAAATTGGTATTGCATAATTCTTGAAGTTATTTTTTATACCGAAATTTGATCACAAATCTACTTGAGGTAACAGGCCACCTGTAATTCGCAGCAGTTTCATTTTGATACAAGATCCACAGTGTGTGTTTATAACTCAGCTACGAATGAAGACATTTTAATGCAATGTTCACCAAACAGGCACCCGTGGGCGCTTTGAGAGAATACCAATACAATCACAGTTCTGTGTTCGAACTCAACATTATTCTCGACATCGAACATGTCGTATGCTTTGCTATGCTTTAACATATACGATATGTATCGAGAGAACGAAAATTACTCTCCCAACGGATCTATGCGTGTGTCCAACACAATCATAGCAGTTTGCGTATGTATTGTTGGCTAACCCTGTTTTAATGAAACTTTTGATATTAGTTAGAGGGAATCTTCTAGTTTCTCTCTAAGGCATTGAGGATTATTTATAATGTCCATCTAATTGTGGAGTGAATAAAAATTTCGGACCGTTTTATGATTTTTCCAGTTACATTTAAGAAAATGTTTTGAATTGGCTCTCTTATTAATATTGAAAGTTTCATTAAAATATATTCATTCGTTTCTGAGATATAAGCATTTGAAGTTGATCTGATACAAGAATATAACTGCAGCAGATTACTGATCGCCTGTTACCTCAAAATGATTTGCGAAGAATTTCAATTGCAGCAAATTGCCCCGAAAATTCAGATTTAATGAAATACGAAACTTCTTATGCATACAATTTTAAAGTAACAGGCGAGCAGTAATGCACAGCAGCTATATTTTAATTCAAGATAATATCTAAATGGCTATTTCTCGACAATATATTTCGACAATTTCGTGATTCTTTTACTGATATATAATCTGAATTTTATAATTTTAGAAATACATAGTATTCTAATTTTCTGATTATTTTGGAACACGTTTTAGGTCAATATTGATATAAGTAGTAGATCAATAGTGATACTATAGATAGGGTACCAATCAAATATTCCTACAAACTTTATCATATGTTTGTATATTATATTTCTTTATAGTTTTCAATTACCTTCTGTCGTTGAGATATAGGCATTTGAAGTTGATCTTGTATCAGAATATAGCTGCAGCACATTGCTGGTGGCCTGTTACCTCAAATTTATTTGCGAAGAAATTTTGATGAAATTTATTCAGTACACCATTTTGAGGTAACTGGTAACCAGCATTGAGTAACAGATATATTATAATTCAAGATAAATTTCAAATGGTTTTTAGTTGAGTTCAAATTTTATGTGGCATAAAAAGAAAAATGCATTCTTTATACCCTCTGACACGATGGTAGAGTGTGTATAATAATCTTCGGAGACTCCATAAAGTATACGTACGAGTATACATAGGGTAACCCTCATATAACCGTACCTCCCACATTTCGGTATTTTGGGTTCTCCTCATTTGGTAGAAAATGTCACTACCAAAAATATAAAAATCGGTCCAAATTTTGGTATACCTGTCTATAACGATACCACCAACTAGACCTTTCCCTCTACCGAATAATAAAAGTATTTTGAAAATTCCTTCATTCTTTGCTGAGTTATTGGCATTTGAAATTTATCTTGTATCTAAATATAACTGCTGCTTATTACTGATCGCCTGTTACCTCAAACGGATTAGTAGAAAAATTTCGATTGGGGGAAATTTTCCTGAAAATTCCGATTTTATGAAATACAAACTTTTTTTCAGTAAGCAATTTTTAAGTAACAGACAACCAGCATTGCGTAGCAGCTATATAATTATTCCAGATAATTTTCAAATATGTATTACTCGACAACGCATGAAAGCAATTTCGTTTTTTTTTCACTGTTATATCAGATAAAACTTGTAGTTTTCGGATTTATGAAGGGTTTTCCAAAAAGAGGTGTTATTGACCATTATACATAATATTTAGTTACAAATTTCCACATATTAAAATCAATATAATTCAATATTTATAAATCTCCCATATGTAAATTAATATTTGTTGCATCATCACCATATCCTTTTCCATATTGCCTTTTCATCATTGCCTACTTATCTCATTTCTATTTGTATCCACCTATACTTTTCGCTTCATTTCTTTGCTTTTATTATTACGTTTTTTTTTTTTTTTTTGGTTTCTCTTTATTTCTTTCTTCCCAAACACCCATCCATCCCCAACCACCATCTCCACTACTCTTTTCAAAAATTGTTTCTGTCTAAAACAAAAAAGTTCTGGTTCTGGATTATTTCACAGTTCTGCCGTGAATGCTGTTAGTTGGAGTCCTAATTTTAATGCCTTGGCGTCTGTGGGCAAGGGTAAAAAATGTCTCATCTATACGGAGTCGTAGCTGGGAATTACAAACTGACCGGAATGGAATAAAAGGTTTATTGGATAAAGCAAAAGAAGTAGAAGCGATTGCCACAACAATAAAGCTCAGAAATTATGGATAAGATGAAATTATTGTATAATAAATGAAAAAAAAAACAAATAATTGTAATAAATGTAACGGAGGTAAAGTTATGACAAACAAAGAACAAAAAACATATATAATGTGAAAATTAAAAATAAAATAAAAAATGAAACTGATTTTTTAAATCAGTTTTGTATGTAAGATATAACGGCAAAACAAGTATACATATACAACAAATTCAATTTGAACAGTTTTTTTCCTTGAATTTATTAAAAAAATAAAATAATAAAAAATCAAATTTTGTTCGTTACTTTTATACTTAAAGAAATGAAAAATAAATAAAAAACACACACACAAATCCTTAAGTCCTTGTTTGTAAGATCTAAAATTAAACAAAAAAAGAAAACTTAATTATTTTTCAAAGAAATATATATTTGATGTATGTTTTTTTGTATTTTCTAATTTAAGTCATTAATATGTTTTATATTACAAAAAAAAAACAATGTATACATTTTTTATATATTAATAATTATTAAGCTATATAAAAAAATATAAAAATGAAGAAGAAAAACATTACAGTTATTTGATAACAAAACTGTTGAAAATCAACAACAATGTATCATGATTTTATTTGACTTAAGGCGAATTTATTTCTATTTTGTATTATCTTTTGATATCATTTCAGTTTAAGTTTTAAGCATAAAAAAATGTGGTCTACGAAAACAAAAATCCCTCCCCAAAAATAAAAGCATCACTGTATATTTTTGTCTAACCAACAACAACTAAAGTATAAACAATACAAAACTCAATATAATGAAACCAAGAAGTAAAACAGCATTTTCTTTCAATTTCAATGGCGTTCTTTTTTGTCTTTCTGAAGGTAAGTAATTGAATATGTTTCCTAGATTTGTTTCATTTGATAATCATTTACTTCGTGATACCAAAAATAGAAACTCGATACCTTAACTAACAGTGAAAGAATCACTAAAGTATCTCCATCCATTGCCGAGAAATAACTATTTAAAGTTTGCCTTAAATCATTGTATAGCTACTACACAGTGCTGGTCGCCTATTACCTCAAAATTCGCTACTGAAGAAGGACAATTTTTCGCAACCAAAATTTCATCAAAATCACTTTGAGGTACCAGGCGACCAGAAAGGCGCAGCAGCTATAATATGACACAAGATAAAATTCAAATACGTATATCTCCGCAACAAATGGAGGTATTTTCATGAAACTTGCATTATTTGTTAGAAAGAGTTTTCTAGTTTTTTTCCTGAGCGAATTCGAAATTAATCACTCTATTACAACTTTGAAGAAATAATATTTAAAAAAATTATCTAATAAGCTTTTTTAAGAATGAAAATAAAAACTCCGAACATGTAAACGAAATGTTACTGCTTCACCTTAACTAACAGTGAAAGAATCACTAAAGTATCTCCATCCATTTGAGGTACCAGGCGACCAGAAAGGCGTAGCAGTTATAATTTGACACAAGATAAAATTAAAATACGTATATCTCCGCAACAAATGGAGGTATTTTCATCAAACTTGCATTATTAGCTAAAAGGAATTTTCTGTTTTTTTCCCTGAGCGAATTCGAAATGAATCCCTCTATTATAGCTTAGAAAAAATCATATTTCATAAATTAATTCAACAAAGCCTTTTTAAAAATCAAAATAAAAACTCCGAACATATAAATGAAATGTTACGACTTTACCTTAAATAACAGTGAAAGAATCTCTAAAGTATCTCTATCCATTGCCGAGAAATAACTATTTAAAGTTTGCCTTAAATCATTGTATAGCTGCTACACAGTGCTGGTCGCCTATTACCTCAAAATTCTCCACTGAAGAAATTTTACTTTTCGTAAAATCTGAATTTTCCGGGCAATTTTTTCGGCAACCAAAATTTCATCAAAATCACTTTGAGGTACCAGGCGACCAGAAAGGCGTAGCAGCTATTAGTTGAAACAAGATAAAATTCAAATACGTATATCTCCGCAACAAATGGAGGTATTTTCATGAAACTTACATTATTAGTTAGAAGGAATTTTCTAGATTTTCCCTGAGCGAATTCGAAATGCATCCCTCTATTATTACTTAGAAAAAATCATATTTAATAAATTTAATCAAATAAGCTTCTTTAATAATCGTAATAAAAACTCCGAGCATATACATGAAATGTTACGGCTTTACCTTAACTAACAGTGAAAGAATTACTAAATTATCTCCTTCCATTGCCGAGAAATAACTATTTAAAGTTTGCCTTAAATCATTGTATAGCTGCTACACAGTGCTGGTCGCCTATTACCTCAAAATTCCCTACTGAAGAAATTTTACTTTTCGTAAAATCTGAATTTTCAGGGCAATTTTTCGCAACCAAAATTTCATAAAAATCACTTTGAGGTATCAGGCGACCAGAAAGGCGTAGCAGCTATATTTTGACACAAGATAAAATTCAAATACATATATCTCCGCAACAAATGGAGGTATTTTCATGAAACTTGCATTAATAGTTAGAAGAAAATTTCTAGTTTTCCCTGAGCGAATTCAAAATGAATCCCTTTTGTTATATAACTCAGAAAAAATCATATTTAATAAATTAATTCAAATAAGCTTCTTTAAAATCAAAATAAAAACTCTGAACATATAAATGGAATGTTACGGTTTTACCTTTACTAACAGTGAAAGAATCACTAAAGTATCTCCATCCATTGCGAGAAATAACTATTTAAAGTTTGCCTTAAATCATTGTATATCTGCTACACAGTGCTGGTCGCCTATTACTTCAAAATTCCCTACTGAAGAAATTTTACTTTTCGTAAAATCTGCATTTTCAGGGAAATTTTTCGGCAACCAAAATTTCATCAAAATCACTTTGAGGTACCAGGCGACCAGAAAGGCGTAGCAGCTATAATTTTACACAAGATAAAATTCAAATACATATATCTCCGCAACAAATGGAGGTATTTTCATCAAACTTGCATTATTAGTTAAAAGGAATTTTCTAGTTTGTCCCCGAACGAATTCGAAATGAATCCCTTTTGTTATAACTCAGCAACAAATCATATTTAATAAATTAAGTCAAATAAGCTTCTTTGATAATCAACATAAAAACTCCGAAGATATAATTGAAATGTCACGGCTTTACCTTAACTAACCTTAACACATTGCCGAGAAATACTATTCAAAGTTTGCCTTAAATCATTGTATAGCTGCTACACAGTGCTGGTCGCCTATTACCTCAAAATTCCTTACTGAAGAAATTTTACTTTTTGTAAAATCTAAATTTTCAGGGCAATTTTTCGGCAATCAAAATTTCATCAAAATCACTTTGAGATACCAGGCGACCAGAAAGGCATAGCAGCAATAATTTGACACAAGATAATATTCAAATCCGTATATCTCCGCAACAAATAGAGGTATTTTCATGAACCTTGCATTATCAGTTAGAAGGAAATTTCTAGTTTTTCCCACATCGAATTAGAAATGAATCCCTCTATTATTACTTAGAAAAAATCATATTTAATACATTAAATCATATAAGCTTCTTTAAGAATCAAAATAAAAACTCCGAACATATACATGAAATGTTACGGCTTTACCTTAACTAACAGTGAAAAATCAGTAAAGTATATCCATCCATTGCCGAAAAATAACTATGTAAAGTTTGCCTTAAATCATTGTATAGCTGCTACATAGTGCTGGTCGCCTATTAACTCAAAATTCCCTACTGAAGAAATTTTACTTTTCGTAAAATCTGAATTTTCAGGGCAATTTTTCGGCAACCAAAATTTCATCAAAATCACTTTGAGGTACCAGGCGACCAGAAAGGCGTAGCAGCTACAATTTGACACAATATAAAATTCAAATACGTATATCTCCACAACAAATGGAGCTATTTTCATGAAACTTTCGTTATTAGTTCGAAGAAGTTTTCAAGTTTTCCCTAGAGTTGATTTAATTTTATTGTAACAGGCGACCAGCATTGCATAGCAGCTATATTTGGATACAAGATCAACTTCAAATGCATATATCTCAGCAACGCATGAAGATATGTTCATGAAATTTCGATATTAGTTAGAGGGAAATATCTGGTTTTTATCTAAGCCAAGATTTTTTATAACTGCAATCCGAAAATTGTGTATTGTTAAATTTTTGTCATTGAAATATTAAACACACCTCGTAAACAATGTAATAAAAAACTAAGTAATTAACACCTATTATACACCCTATTTCTATTCATAAAAATATTTTTTTTTTGTTTGCTCCATTGTCTAGCACAAAAAACATCGTTTTGTAAAACATTTATACTAACCCAATGACCCTCTCTCCACATCCAATATGTGGGTGTTCATTTACTAAAAGATAAAGAACAACGGAAATAGAGTCAACGGTTAATAGTCAGTTTTCCATTTTTAGCAAAGCGTATCATATTCATATTTTTCGGACTATTATTTGTGTTTTTTTTTTTCTTTTTATTTGGTTTGAGACTTTTGTTTACTTTGTAGAAATTTGTTTTGTTGACTTTTGGCATTGTATGACCGATACGATGCCATGGTAAAACGATTTTCTTAATTGTATTGTTAAATTTACAAATAGTTTGTGTTGGCACTTGTAGGGCAGGCAAATCATACAATTTTTATATCATTGGTGTGTGTGCAAAATGTTAAGGCAGTACAAACCGCTATAATACAGATTTAGGGTTGCCATAGCTAAAATGTTTTCGTAAAAAAATTAAAAAAGATTCCACGATTTTGCAGAAATATCAAATTTGTTTCTAACCTCCAAAAGTTTTTCAAGCTCAATGTTCAAATGTTCTACATTAGCATTTTTTACATTTCAAACATTTGAAGTGTATCAATTTGACTGTGTTAAAAACTAGAAAATCCCCTCTATTTAATAACGAAAATTTCTTGAAAATACCTTTTTTTCGTTGCTGAGATATAAGCATTTGAAGTTG